AGGCCTTGGGTTTTTGAGGCTCCCCTCCCCCTTCACAAGGAAAGACAAAGCCTCAAGAGATGGGGCCTCGGCCCACGCGTCATGCCGGACCCTCAGTGACAGTCTTCTTCCGAGTCCTGACTCAGCTGCAGGAAGGAGTGGGGGAGGCCGGGCAGCCTGGTGCCCCTGACGATCGGAGCAGATCCCGGAGACCCACTGTGTTTCTCAGTAGTTGGCAATACTCTGTCAGACTCCGACAGTTAATTCTGCTTCAGTTGACTGGCTTGACAGTGAGGCCTGAGTTGTCTGGAAGACAGTCTCTGTAAACTGATTTAAACCTATAGCTCTACAAGGTGTGGGGAAAACATGTAAAGCAAACGAAAAAGCTTTTATTTAAAAAAAATTGTATTCACAAAAGTGCCTTGAAATGAAAGAGTAACTGATATAGTTAATAGTAATTTAATGTACCTGGGTAAAGGTTTCTGGGTAAATGTCCTAGAATTTCACAAAGTGAATGATTTCAAGTGACCAGGTAAAAAGTCCTTTTGAAATTCAGGTTGTTTCCAAGTTGTTGCTTTCAACAAAAATGGAAGGAAAGCCCAATCAAGTTATTAGCTGATACAAATGGAATTAGCAGAAATTGATGAGAATCAGTGTGTGATTTTTAGTATTTAACTAAAATACATTCAAGGAATTGTGTGACATTGCTATTAATTTTTCACTTTTGTGCCCTTATTTATGTGTGCAAGTTTTCTCTATTTACATCTATAAACATGAAAAGTCAGAATAGAATATTCATCCTTGGAAACATAAATTGATTTTTAAAATAGTCTCGAGCATAGCATTAAAAGGTGTGCTTCCAAAAAATTTTAGTGTCAGCGCTGGCTGGTTTGGCTCGGTGGTTAAAGTGTCAGCTGAACTGAAGGGTCCCGGGTTCGCCTCCACCGACGGGGCGCTACCTCTGCCGCGTCTGGTCCGGCCCGGCCCTGCGGGAGGGAGCCCGGCCCTGCGCCTCCCCCTCCCGTCCCTGTCTCGGAAAGAGCGACGGAGAAAATAGACTCGGGCGAGGCGGGAGGCGGGAGCCCGCAGCCCGGCCGCCCG